ACAAGTTCTTCAAATACCTATAGAATGATAGGTTTCTTTTTTTGTGAGTGTAAAACACTTAAATACACCAATCAGAAAAAGAAACTACGCTTGGATCTAGAATAGTAACTGTTTTTCTTTTTCTTTGTACAACATCACCTCGTGACTTATTTTCACAGACAGTATCAGTCAACTGTCATCTTCAGTCAACATTATAGTCTTTTTAGCAAGAAAAATTAACATTATTAATTCATAATATTAAGAGCACTGAAAATACCAGACTTTAGTCCTAATATTTGAGCTAAATTACATTAGAATACAGGATTTTTTTCTCCACATTCCTCTTAATTTGTCCATTACATAACTTCATGTCCGAGATACATGAAAACAATAATTTAGCCTTCTTTCGTCTCCTGCGAATCACAGCCAACAAGAAGCCTTTCGTTGAATATGAGGAATGGCCAGCAAGATTAGCCGATAAGAGACAAACATTCATATGGAACACTATTTACGTATGCAATATAACTGTACAAAGATTAAAGTTTTACCTTAAACTTTATAATATTTTGCCAGCTTTAGGGGTTAAAAACTGAAGTTTTTTTAACAATTAAATTGGAAGTTAAGTCCGATCAAGAATGGCTGATGATAATTTTCATATCGAAAACAATTTAATTACTTCTGCTTTTGGTTCTTTGTTTTATTATACATAACATTTTTTGTTTATGTTTACTTGTAGAGTACGCCCTATCAAACACTCAGATTTTATCATTTTACTTTGTGATAAGGCGGTGGCGTTTCAAGTTTCATCTGCAGGACTTGTTAAACCTATTTAGCGGATAGTAGTAAGCCTAAGATTTAAGAGTATGTTTCATTTGGTTGTAGTTAATGGGTAACGAAAATAGCTATTAGTATTAAAATTTTAAATAGCACTGGATTCGGTGTGTAGCCTTCATTTTAAAACACCTTATTACAATTGTTTTAATTTATTTTACAAAGTTTATTGGTATTGAAAGTCATAAAGTAAAACAGTAATTATTAACAAACTTATGAAAACGGTGAAACACTGGCTGAGTGAAAGTGAAAGGAGTCAAAGGGAAAGTCGAAATTTAAAGTAAAGAACTTAACGGTAGTATTTTAATTTTATATCTAATAATCATTATTCACAGAACAACTTATTATAACTACTAATTAGTTTTATTGTAATTTGTATAAAGTTTTTGTAAATTTCAAATCTTACAAGTTTTATTACGAATATAACTTGCATTGAAGCTACAACATTCGTACTAGTTGTAGTAGTAGTAGCGTTACTGCTGAATAGTACTGCTGGTACTTGTAGCAGTACTAGTACAACTACTAGCACTAGTTGATCCTAAACTTTAAAGCTGATGACTAGTTTTACAACAAATTAACAACTAGTAGTAGTACTTTGTAACGTTAGTATATAAGACAAGGACACATAGTAACGCGACATTAAAATGATTAACATTTAAATAATTAAGTATTAATGCTATAAACTCTGTAACTTGCAAGTTGTAACGTATCTTAAGTAAGTACTGATACTACTACTAGCGATAGTGTCTCACCAGCGTTGTACCAACTGAGAAGTGAAATGTATGTAATTATGGAAGAGTTTAACCCTAACGAGTTAACATATATAACACATATCTAGTGCTTCCCGTAATATATAAAAGTATAACTAAAGTAAGATGTTATTAATAACTACTTCATATCACGATAATAATAATAATTAACATGCTATTTATCTGGCATTATTAGTCTAACTCTGAGCAGCATTCAGTATTTAAAAGGACCTTGACATTGTTGTAGGGGAAGCTATAAAAGTATTATAGTTTAAACTAAACTTGCAGAATGAGCACACTGTGAGGAAGTTTGGAAAGTGGAGAATAAACATGTAGGATATCTAGAGTAACAAGGAGACTGGAAATGAGAAGTATAGAGTATAAGTTAAATAACAGTTTAAAATTACATATGTCAAATTTAAAGATATGCCCAGTAGAGTCAAATATAATTATAAGTTTAGTTACTATTATTCTAATGTTAGATTAATTGGGAGACTGCAATATAACAGAATTACTGGAATGTTTAGGTTTGAAGAGCATTGATAATGGTGATTATTTTAAAATTCTAGGTGATAAGTTATTTATTAGTGCTAGGACTTCTTAAAAAGAGGGTTAAGGTTGCTCCTTGTATAAGCAAGGATGTATAGAGACAGCCCAGGCCCCAGGGTCAGTAATATCATTGGGCCCACCTTTCATTCTGTTTATTAACTTTTGCTGATATCTCATAAAAGAAATTCATGAAAAAGCAGTAGCCATTTTAGCTCATTAAATAGAATGTGTTTCTAGTGAGCTTTGGAATATCCCACTTCTGGGCCCTGGGGCAGCTCCCCACCCCCCATCAGCCCTGTATATAAGGGTTGAAAAATTGTAGTCAAGAGGTTTAACCTGTAAGTGTGTTACAGCCAGGAGTTTCAGGGGTAGAAAAGTTTTTAACTGGCAGCTATCATAGGCCTTCTCATTAGCTAGATAATGTTGATGAGAAATCATATAATAAGATCTAGAGTTACAACTAAGAATACTGACTTTAGTAAACACGTTGATTGGGATTGAGTTGCATAGTGAGGGACAGATATTTCTTCAAGCAGTAATTATGTGAGGATTGGGGAGTTGCTAATGTTATTATTATTTTTTAAAGAGGTGAGTGATAAGAGTTGCCCTGGAAATTATACACCAGTTAGTCTAAAGTCTTTAGTGGGAAAAAGTCGAGAGAATCCAATAAAAAAGTTTTGTAAAATCATGTAATGAAATATGATATCATAAAAGAAAGCTAATATGGATTCACTAAAGAGACTTCTTCTCTTACTAATCTGTTAAGTTTTTTTTTTTTAAGATTCTAATGTATTAGCCCAAATTTAAGACAGATTAGTTTTTTAAAAAAAGTAAGATTTTTAAAAATACAAATTTCTTTCTATTTGTGGATTATGCTCTGAGTCAAGTTGACATTCACAGTCAAGGCTGTTGTGAATAGGTACTGACTGTATATCAGATACATTAACATTCTTGACAGGAGCGTACAGTCATAATGCTACTGGTGCTTACTTTTAAAATTATATAGACAATTTCTTGTGTGTGCATATCAGGTTACGAAAATGTTAAAATTTTTTTGTGGGATTACCATATTGAAACACAAACCTGTACATTTGGATTACAGTAAACTAATAAACCTTTACTGGATCTGAAAATTGTATTGCTGACAACCCCTAACAGTGAGTAAATATATATTTTTCCCCATTCTTTGCTGAAGTTGTCTTAACTAATTTCAAGTACATTCTTGTTAATACTTAGTTCTGATGTACTTTTTTAATGTTAAAAATTAATTTTTTTGTCTTTAAAAATTAAGGTTATTTTAAATTTGGGCCAATACCATAATTTCTATGTGGATGATGGAAACGATGTGAGCTATGTATACTTAGATTTTCATAAAGCTTTTGGTGACGTGACACACAGAAGATTAACTAGAAAATCATATTGGTGTAGGTTGAGGAAAGACTAATTAGTTGGATTGTAGGATGACAGAAAGCACAAGGTTGCTTGTTATTAATGGATCTTAGTCCATTGTTACTAATGGAGCACCTATGGTGCATGGTTGGGACTTTAGTTTCTATTATTTACATTAATATGCAAAAGTACCCGCCCCTAGTGATAGGAAGAGTTTAAGTTAATCTATCAATTTAAATTATTTCATGGACTTTTAAAAAGGTTAGTTGTGTTGTACTCCTGAGCTACTTATACTGCCCACCGCTAAAAGTAATTGTTGAACATTTCAGTCATGCTAAGAGCCACTCAACAATAACATACAGTAAATCTACATTTTTATTCTTTAATTTATGTCATGTTTTGAAATGTGAATGACAGTGTTATTAACCCCTAACAGTTTAGTGTAGAATATCCTGGTTGCAAAATATAATTTGGCATCAACGTTATTCATGTCTGTTCTACTGTCATTTCAAAAGTGAATGTTGAGCTTTGCCTGCATGTGCAGCTTTTTAAGAAAGAGACAGACAAATGCTTGGACAAGCACCATGGTTCACAATATATATATATATATATAAAATATTATATTGATAAGGATATAGTAAGGTTTCCTGATTTTTTAAACCGTTGGAAATATTCCAGAATGGCTTAGATCAGTTTGCAAGTTGGAGAAATGTTTGGCAAATGTACTTTTATTATAATTAATGAAATATATTTTGATTGTCATAATTTGTAGCACACATCTAATACAGACAGTAAAGGATCCTTGATTTATTAATGGGCAAGTCATATAAGCCTTCAAGACAATGCTATTATTTGTGGTAATGTTAATAGAATTTTATGTTGTATGTTTGGGGTAGGTGTAAGTAAGATTGTTGGATGTAAGATTGTTGTATCATAAGATTGTTGGATGTAATGTTGTTGGATTGTGAGATTGTTGAATGTAAGATTGTTGGATGTAAGGTTGTAAGACTGTTGGATTGTAAGATTGTAAGATTGTTGGATGTAATGTTGTTGGATTGTAAGATTGTTGTATCATAAGATTGTTGGATGTAATGTTGTTGGATTGTAAGATTGTTGGATGTAAGGTTGTTGGATGCAATGTTGTTGGATTGTAAGATTGTTGGATGTAAGATTGTTGTATCATAAGATTGTTGGATGTAAGATTGTTGGATTGTAAGATTGTTGGATTGTAAGATTGTTGTATCATAAGATTGTTGGATGCAATGTTGTTGGATTGTAAGATTGTTGTATCATAAGATTGTTGGATGCAATGTTGTTGGATTGTAAGATTGTTGGATTGTAAGATTGTTGAATGTAAGGTTGTTGGATTGTAAGATTGTTGGATTGTAAGATTGTTGGATTGTAAGATTGTTGGATTGTAAGGTTGTTGGATTGTAAGATTGTTGGATGTAAGATTGTTGGATGTAATGTTGTTGGATTGTAAGGTTGTTGGATGTAAGATTGTTGGACTGTTGGATTGTGAGACTGTTGGATTGTGAGACTGTTGGATTGTGAGACTGTTGGATTGTGAGACTGTTGGATTGTAAGATTGTTGGATTGTGAGACTGTTGGATGTAAGGTTGTTGGATGTAAGGTTGTTGGATTGTAAGATTGTTGGATGTATTGTTGGATGTAAGGTTGTTGGATGTAAGATTGTTGGATTGTAAGATTGTTGGATGTAAGATTGTGAGACTGTTGGATTGTGAGACTGTTGGATTGTAAGATTGTTGGATTGTGAGACTGTTGGATTGTAAGATTGTTGGATGTAAGGTTGTTGGATTGTTGGATTGTAAGGTTGTTGGATGTAAGATTGTGAGATTGTTGGATGTAAGGTTGTTGGATGTAAGATTGTTGGATTGTAAGATTGTTGGATGTAAGATTGTAAGACTGTTGGATTGTAAGACTGTTGGATTGTGAGATTGTTGGATGTAAGGTTGTTGGATTGTGAGATTGTTGGATTGTGAGATTGTTGGATTGTAAGTTGTTGGATTGTAAGGTTGTTGGATGTAAGATTGTTGGATTGTAAGATTGTTGGATTGTAAGATTGTTGGATTGTAGGATGTAAGATTGTTGTATCATAAGATTGTTGGATGTAAGGTTGTTGGATTGTGAGATTGTTGGATTGTAAGATTGTTGGATTGTAAGATTGTGAGACTGTTGGATGTAATGTTGTTGGATTGTAAGATTGTTGGATGTAATGTTGTTGAATTGTGAGATTGTTGGATGTAATGTTGTTGAATTGTGAGATTGTTGGATGTAATGTTGTTGAATTGTAAGATTGTTGGATTGTAAGATTGTTGGATGTAATGTTGTTGAATTGTGAGATTGTTGGATGTAATGTTGTTGAATTGTGAGATTGTTGGATGTAATGTTGTTGGATTGTAAGATTGTTGGATTGTAAGATTGTTGGATTGTAAGATTGTTTGATTGTGAGATTGTTGGATGTAATGTTGATGAATTGTAAGACTGTTGGATGTAATGTTGTTGGATTGTAAGATTGTTGGACGTAAGATTGTTGTATCATAAGATTGTTGGATGTAATGTTGTTGAATTGTAAGACTGTTGGATGTAAGAAAGAAGAGGATTATTATAAGTGTAGTTCAGTCAAATTGAATTAAAAAGAAAAAAAAATGAAAAACTTACAAGGCTATAATTGGGCAGAGCACATAGTCGATTATGTAGCTTTGTGCTTAACAACAAACACACATAACAGCAATATTATGATTACTTGGATAGTTGGAGTAATAGAAAATAGTAATAATCAGAAACCTTAATTATGATTAGTTGATCATTTTCACAACAATCAGAATTTTGATTAATAGATTGTTGGAATAATCAGAAATAGAAAATTCAATTAATCAATTATTTTACTTGATACTAATCAATTAAATCAGCTATAATCACAATGGCAGATGAATTTTAATTATAATAAATACAAAATAGTGTTTATGGGTTATCACAATTTAAGCTATAAGTTTAATTTTAATGGAAATAACCTTCACAAAGTTTGAGAAGAAAGGGACCATGGTGTTTTAGTTAATCAGTCTCTTGACATGAAAGAAACAGACCTTAGTGTTTTAGTTAATCAGTCTCTTGACATGAAAGAAAAGGAACTTGGTGTAATAGTCAATCAGTCTCTAAAGCCATCCAAGCAGTGTGCTGTTGCTAGTGTTAGGGCAAATAGGATTTTAGGTTGTATCTACAGAAATATTGAATAGAAAGTCTAAAGAGGTTATAATACTGGTTATGCCACATTTGGACTGTTGTGTTCATTCTTATGAGGTTATGAATTCCTTGTATGGGTCATTAGTCAGGCCACATTTGGAGTATTGTGTTCAGTCTTGGGTTCCTTACCTTAAGAAGGACAGTGATAGATGCAACACAATTGATCAAGAAAAGGTTTGATGAGTACATGGCTGGATCTGGACAGTTGGATGTTTATTAAAATGAGTGGGATAGTCATGATAGGCCAAGGAGTCCCTCAAATCTTATGCTGTTATATATATAAAATCTTTGGTACTCAGGTGCAATGTTGAGAAGTCTTTTGTGTTTAACCATCTGGAGCCTCACAAAGTTTCTTTGTGGGTAGCATCAACTTGTGGTAGCAATAAATGGTTCATATTTATGTTTCGGGTAACTTCAGTTTCCTGTTTCAGGTTGGTAGGTAGGAGTATGATTGTATGTGTTTAGTATCTGGACCTGAAAGAGAGTATGTTTCACACGTATACCTCTGAAAAAGCAATAGAGTTTTTCAGTCCTTGTTTTTATCAAATTTTTGGTTCATAATAGAGAACCAGAGCTTATTGACTGCAATTCCAAGGTCTCTGTAGAGTCTTGATTTCTTTATAAAGACATAAAAAGATTCTTTGGTTTTCCATGTCTTCTGGTGTTGTTCTTGGCCGACATTGATTCGTAATGTTCTTAATTTCTGTAGCTAACATTTTTAAGTTCATAAGTGATGACATTAGCAAACAACTATAGTTCACATCAAGAACTTAAGGTTTTAAGTTAATTTATGGATGTAGTTTTTACCTAATGTGTGTCTTTTTTAATCATAAAAAAAAGCATTGCTCCATGTCTTTAAGTGATGATAAATAGATATTAAAAAAAAGCATTGCTCCATGTCTTTAAGTGATGATAAATAGATATTAAAAAAAGCATTGCTCCATGTCTTTAAGTGATGATAAATAGATATTAAAAAAAGCATTGCTCCATGTCTTTAAGTGATGATAAATAGATATTAAATCATATTTTTTATCAAACATTTATCAATGAATGAATTTTGAAAAAGTAAGTAATTGGTCAAATCCAGGATAATTCTGAAACCATTAAACAGTCTCCTCACAAAAAAAAACTGATAAATATTACACAAACATCCAAATCTTCATTTAAAGATTATTGTTATGTTTTATGGTGATGAATGAACCATAGAATTACCGATGGAGTCCCTATGGACCCCATTTGCCTTTTAAACAGTTCTTTATAAACTGTTTGGGGTCCATGACAATATTTTTATTGAATCCATAACAACACGAGTCACACACACACACAGAGGAAAAAAAATAAACCAAAAATACATTCAGTATCATAATTAATCAACCTAATTATTGCTGACTTGCTCCATATATCTTATATATAAAATGGTTGCTGCAAGTGTTTTTACCAGTTTTTCATAGTGAGTAGTGTAACAGGCAAAACCAAAATTACTCAATATGATAGAGTTGTGAATGGTCTAATAATTGATGTTTGAGGATTGAACAGAAAAATGTATTTATTATTGACATCAGTGTAACTATAAATTTAACAGTCCTGTGTCATTAATGATTTGAATGTTTCTTAATTAGTTTGGTTTTCACCACCGTAAGATTCAGATTTGCTGCCCCAGAAGTATGACCAAGATTCATTTCATCTCAATTCTTAGTTGTCATGCTCACGTGTTTGCTAATGCATATGGTGGCAAAACATAATGAATACAACTAGGAGAAGAAGGGAATTTCCACCTGGTTAGAACTTTCTAATATACCATTTTCTGAAAATGTAATTTATGTTTTTACAAAAATTATCTGAAACAAGTAAAACAAAAACATGACTTAGACCTCAAGCCATGCATTTCTTTCTTTTGAATTAGAGTTTTAGAAAGTTTTAAATCTCAAAAATGATGTCTCATTGTATATAGTCAAGCTGATTTATTGTTACAGGTAAAAAAAAATATATAATTTGATTCTAGCAGGATCATTTATTTTACAGGTGTTTTGAAAGTTGGAAGTAAAAATGGATAGCAGTCATTTTTCAGATGATGTCAGTTCTGGATCTCGGAGTACTAGTGACTTCTCAAGTTTGTTAGCCGAGATGAGTGGGTATTTTATTAAACGCTAGATATCAAGAGATTCTTTACCTGACAAAACAAACCTGTAGAGAATATGAAGGTGTTTTACTATATTTTCTTAACTATCTAAAGTTAATTACTAAATAGTACTGTAAGGAGTATCACATTTAACTTTGATATGTTTTAAAAATTTCTATTTTACACTTATAAGTAAACCTATTTTTTTCTCCCATATCATATTTCAGAGGCTCAGAATTTTGATGTCATCAGATTTGCAACTTACCGCACAGCTAGTAAGTTACGGTTTATTCAGAAGAAGACAAATCGTAAGTAGGGAGAGGATTTCAATATTTAATTACTTCCTCAGTTGATTATATTTAAGAAGTAGACATACAGGTTTGATATTCTTGATTTACAGTTGTATTTGGTAAACAAGATTTTTTTTTCTTCAAGTGTGCATTGAGGGATGTATTTTTAAACAGGTACCATTTTATTTCATTAAATTAATTTACTTTAAAGAGCCTGGCATGGCCTGTTGGTTCTGGTACTGAGGGTTGCAAGTTCGAATCCCTGTCACCGAACATGCTCGTTCCATACGATTGCTGACAGGGCCAGCCACCCAGGTGTAAAACTTGTTGGCTTATGCAAATACCAGCCATCCCCGAACTAGTTGGGATTAAGGTTGTGAAAGAAAAAAAAAAAGTTAATATGTTTTAAACATTGAAAGTTTTATTCTGTTCAGCAGTGCACTTTGTATGTTTCAAACAAGAAAGTTTTCTTTCACTCAGTTAGCCTGCTTGATATCTGGAACATGATTGAAACCTTCAGGGAGAACAGCTTGAACACACTGGAACCTCGGATGGAAATTAACATATCTCGACTGGAAACATTACTATCCTCACTATTTTACCAGCTTAACAAACGATTACCAGCTAATCACCAGGTGGACATTGATCAATGTACTTCATTGTTGATGAGCTGGATTCTGTTGATGTATGATCGGTAAGGCTTCTAGATAAAGATGTGTAACCAGTAAGGTTTCTGGATAATGGTGTGTAACTGGTAATGGGTAGGGTTTCTGGATAATGGTGTGTAACTGGTAACCAGTAAGGTTTTTGGATAATGGTGTGTAACTGGTAACCAGTAAGGTTTTTGGATAATGGTGTGTAACTGGTAACCAGTAAGGTTTT